AGTTGTTTAGTGATGTTCTGTAATTTCCATTCAGTCAAATTGGCAACGAAAACTCCGGGATTGAAAGAGCAGGTGTTGGCTTTCATGGCAAGCTTTCGGATGGTTTCTTTTTTGTAATCTAAAAACCCAATGTAATTATACTGGGGGAGGAGGGGGGAAAGAAAGTAGAAATTAGCTTAAAATATATGGGGAAATTGCTAAAGAAAAATTCTGAACAACTCACAACAGACAGGTGTAAGTTGAAGTTGTTATAGTAAATATCTCTTCCTTTAAAATGAGAGAAAGCAACCTTAAGAGGTGTAACATTTAAAAAATATTATTATATAGATTACATATTTTAAGGAATGCTGCATGGTCTAAATAATACCATATTATTAATATGGTAGGAGTCTCAGATAAAATACTTTTTATACATTCAAAAATGAAAGATTGTCCCTTCGACGTTCTCAGACCTCCTGCTTTTCCACAACGAGAATTGCTCTCATTGTAAAGCACAGCAAAAATTCCAGGTAATTTACTGTGCCTGAACAGAAACTGCAGGTCCCATTTGTAAATCTGGTTTGGGCAGGGAAAGTCTCATGTTTAGGTTTCAGCATTCGGAGCATTCCCAAATGCCTGAGATCTACAGTACTGTCATCACTGAACAAGACTAAAACCAACCTGATTGCCTGCTCCACGGACAACAACTTTACTACTGGTTGAGTCACAGTCATCTGAAAATGCAGCTGCATGTCCAGGTTTCAATGGAGTGTTGTAAAGTTCAACAATATCATCTGGAAAATGGAAGCAAGCACAGGAAAATCAAAAACAATCCTGAATAAGTGCCAAGTTAGGCTTTGTTCAGTCCATTGTTACAGCACATAAAGCTACTCAGTTTACCCCATTTGCTCATATTTACAAAGTTTGCACAGAAATGTTTGGGTTCTGGGAGAGATAAGATACTGACCTCACATAAGGCCAGCAGCTAACAAACGTCCCATACCTTGCACTATCACATCATCATCCACATAGATGACCTTCTCTGCATGAGGTACAAAGCTGGGCAAGTAGAATCTTGCAAAAGTTAACTGTGAGAACAGCAAAGCAAGAGAAGTGGAGAATTAAATGAAAAAATTGTCCAAATAAATGTGAAATTGACTGATTTTCCTGGCACTTATCTATGGCATTAATGTCCAAGACAACATCTATGGAGGAAGTAAAATAGGCAGGAATATCCTACAAGTAATTTAAAACAAATAGGTTCCATCAATTCCTGGTTTACCATGAATGTATGCATTGATAAACTAACTTTGAAACTGGTCTATATAAGAATTTCTTATTTCTCCACACAGATCTGCAGCATCTCTGAGGTGTTGGCATACTTGACATGCCAGCTGTGGTGTTTCACTGTGGCTAACAGCAAAAAATTATCCTAGGCATGCATATGTAGATATTCAAATCCATTTCTCACTATCTAGATATTTAATTTTACTGAAATTCAGAGATTTTATTACGAAATATTGCTTCTATGCTAAAAGACTTGGTTTTGATTTCCAGCTGGTTTCAAAAGCCAACATCACAATATATTGTTATTAACTACTAATTGCAAAAAGTAATCAGCATCATCCTCACTGGTTTGAAGTTGTCTGCCTTCTGGGGATCCACTTGTACTTTGCCTTCTAAGACACGAGGGTCAAAATCCAGAATTCGGTATCTCATGTTTTTCAGAGGAGGGCTCCTCAGCCACGTCCTGCAAGCAGGAGAAAGGCACACATCTCGTTAGATGAGACAAAATCAAGGAAAAGCAGGAGATGCAGCTCACAGTGACACAGATCTGGACGTGGCCACTCACTTCCCTGCCCAACAAACACATCTGGGATGTAACTGATGCTGTCCTGTGTGGCCACAGGGGCAAGTCCAGGGTCAGCAACTGCACACCTGGGACAGGTGGAAGTACAAGGTCACTTCTTGCTTTATAGAAATATACACTCCTGTTAGCACAGGCCCCTCCCAAAACCATCAGTGTGGACAGAAGGGGATAAGAGGATCAAAGAACAATCTACAAAAATGGAGAAACGTGATTGCCAGCATTTGAATTGCTTAGATGAAATGTAGAAGTACCTTTTACAACCCTTCCACCCACAAACTCCAACCTCACTGGTTGGATATAAGCCCATTGGAAAAGATGTTTCTTTTCCATCCCTGAAACTTGACCAGAAGGAATGGTGGGACTCCCACAGCAGCCCTGTCGTAAAGCTGCTGGGACTGGGAGTCAGGGGAGTGCAGCTCCAGGGAAAGGCAGCTTGCTCTCCTCTCAGAAATACAGAGCTCACCACATTGCAGGAATCCAGTGACAAGATCATTACCTCAAGTGATCCACAGTATCATTCAAAGTAACAATGTAGAAAACCACGTTGGACCTGGTGTTCTGGTAAATGCTGTTCATGGCTGCTATTGCACCTCCAAGCCTCTCATCCGAGGCTGCAATGACCACAGGAATCTCCTTGTCATTCCTCTCATCTGCCAGCCTCTGGGGAGCTGCAGGAATGAAATCTATAGGCTGAAGTCCTAAGGGACTTGGATCTGTGGAGTAAAAATGACATACTTGTTTTTATTATTATTACTAAAATTCCCAACACTTCAATTATTTCTGCTATACACTTAGATGTCTGAGCTGAGGTGTGGATTACAGTGAGCCAGTATCAAACACTCAGAGCATCAGCTTTTGAGAATCTGAGATGCTAATGAATAGAATAGCACCACATTTACAGAAAACTGCACACATTTAACCACACATATTCACACACAGCACAAGGTATTAAAAGGCTGAGCTACAGTAGTTTGCACTTGCCTTTAGTCCCCTCTGCCATGCCTATAACTCATTAACTTCCCCCTCCCATTCACTCAAACCACATGGTAGGTTCTGTCTGACCAGAGCAGGTGTTTTCCCATCAAATCTTAAAAATATATATATTTTTAAAAATTAAAACAACATACCTGACAATTCCCGTCTCAAGAAGTCACTGAGGCTTAGGAAGTTATGATGAATAACTAGCAAAAATATGATAACAGCCACTATAAGGATGGAAATGTTCACTGAAAATTAAGAAGAAAAATCTTTATCAATATAACCAGAGAGCAACTGAGAAACCTGGATAGAAAAGATATTTTAAAAAAAATCAGACAAGCACATATACACGTACCTTTCCTTAATGTCATTTTTCTATTCTTATTTTATTATCATAAGGTTCCTGCAAACCTGAAAGAAAAAAATACAGCAGTCACTGCCAGTGCATTCTTCCATGAAGCATAGCACACCATCACCAGGAGTGTCACAAGTTTCAGTGTCAAAGGCAGTGAGTGTTTCCCTCTGTCAATTTTATGACGTACATAAAACTCTATGTCACATTTTAAAAAGTGAGTATGGTCTCAGGAAGTACCTAACTACAACCACAGAAGCACAGGATGGGTTGGGTTGGAAGGAACCTTCAAGATCACCTGGTTCCAACCCCTGCCATGTGCACAGACATCATCCCAGTTCTCTGGGAAACCTGTGCCAGGGCCACACCACCCTCGCAGGGAAGAATTTCTTCTCAATACCTCATTTAAACCTGTCCTCTATCAGCTGGAAGCCATCCTCCCTTGTCCTGTCATCCATACCCATGTCCAAAGTCCCTCTCCAGTCCCTTTAGGCACTGGAAGGGACTCTGACAGGTCCATGTCCTTCTCATGTTAGGGACCCCCCCACGACAACGACATATCTAAAGAAGCTCTCAGAGATGAAAAGGAGACTTGCAGATCTTGCCACTACACTGACAGAAAACGGCCAAACTCCTTCTTCCAGCCAAAAGTAATCTGAAAGATCTGGAAAATTATGTATGTCTTCTTTACTGTGGCAACTATTTATTTAACTATCTGAACTGGAAAAAAAAAACAGCGGGAAAGAAGGCAGTACCATCATGTTATAGAAGGGGGTAGAAACACTACAGCAATGCTATTTCGGTAAGAAATTAAAAAACGCTTGTTCATTATTTAAGGGTCGAGGCGAAATCAGAACAAGAGCTGGGTATCCTGCCGCGTGAAGGAGCTGCCAAATGACACACAGAAAGCTCCTTAACAACACGCAAAATTGCAGAAAAGGTGAGAGACTTGCGAAATCCCTGAATTGAAACACCTCAGACTGCGCTGTGACTGTTACGTGTATCGGAACCACCTTCTTCCCGCTGCTGCATTTCTGCCCCAGGGCAGACACATCAGCGGAGCCCAGCAAATCCCTGCCCCGAGCGCTCCGAGCAGCACCGCACTGCTGGCACGGGGCGGGCCGCGGAGCTCAGCCTGGGAGCACAGCGCCACGTCCCGCCGTGCAAGAAGCGCTCCGCAGCTGCCAGCGCCGCGGCTGAGGCGCGCACGGACGCGGCGGGCGCCTCAGCGACACGCGGCAGCCGGGCTGGGGACAGTGACACAACGCCCCGTGCACAGGGATGCTCACGGACAACAATAAAACCCACACCGCGCTCCCCGGGCTGCTCTGCGGGCACGGCCCCGCTCCGGGGCCGGCGGGCCCGTGCCCGGCTCTCCCGCACCGCCCGCGGCGTCCCGGCCCCTCACGGACCGTCCGCCCGCGCCGCCACCGCGGCAGCGCGCGGCCCGCGGCTGCCCGCCCAGGTGCCTGACCTCCGCCAGGCGCCGAACCTCCGCCGCGCCCACTCCGCCGCGATACCGGAGCCGTGGCGGCGCCCGACGGCTCCGTGAGACGAGCCTGAGGCTGGGGCGGGAGGGCAGCCCGCGAGCTGCCGAATCAGTGCGGGTTTCCGACAGGCGGCTCCGCGGCGCCTCGCACCTGCCGGGGAGGGCGCCTCCGCCGGGGTCCTGCGGGGCGAAGCCGCCGTTGCCGAGGAGATGCGTCCCGACGAGCGGGGGGGAGCGGGAGCGGAGCAGCCCCGGAGCGGCGGCGGCGGCGCGGAGGCGATGGCCGAGGCTGGAGGCGGCACCCCCGGCCGACGGAGCTCTGGGCGGGGCGGACGGGGCGTGTTTCCGGCCAGCTCAGCAGCCGCCTTCCGCTCGGCCGCGACGAGAGCCGGTAGGAGCGGAGAGGCCGCGGTGCGCCCCGCGAACAGCAGAGCCCCGCCCGGGAGCGCGGAGACGGCTGCGAAGAGGAAGGGGAAGAAGCCGGAGAAGCGCCGCCGCCATGCTAAGCGTGTTCCGCTCCATCCCCACGCAGATGGTAGGTCCCGCCCGGGCCTCGGCACCGGGGCACTGCGGGCGACACGGCCGGGAGCGGGTTTTACTGTCCCCTGCACGCACGGCGACACGGCCGGGAGCGGGTTTTACTGTCCCCGGCACTGCGGGCTCCGCGGCCGGGAGCGGGTTTTACTGTCCCCTGCACGCACGGCCGGGCGGGTTTTACTGTCCCCTGCACTGCGGGCTCCGCGGCCCCTGCCCGATCTTGGCAGCCGTGAACGAGGCCCGCCTGGGGGATGCAGGATGAACGCGCGTAATTCCGGGCTGTGACCTGCGAGCTGGGAGTCTCACGCTGTAAAGGAAGCTGTCTGTGTACGGGAAGCCCCTCTGCGCTTTCCTGCCTCTGCTGTAGAAGGACAGAAGGCGGCGTGTGCTCCCAGAGCCGCGTTTTCTAACGTCATGCAAATATAGATCACTTGGGTTTGGAAGGAGCCACTGGAGATCACCCAGTCCAACCCTCCAAAGCAGGGTCACCTGGAGCAGGAATGAATCCAGATGGATTTGGAGTGTCTCCAGAGAGAGGGACTCTCCCCCCGCCCCCCATAGGCAGCCTGTCCCAGTGTTCTGCCATCCTCAACATAAAATTCTTCCTTCTGTTGAGGTAAAACTTGGTGTGTTTTAGTTTATGGCCAGTGCTCCTCATCCTGGCGCTGGGCACCACTGAAGGGAGGCTGGCACCATCCTGTTGGCACCCCCCTGGAGACATTTATTTGTCAGCCTTGTCCAGAACACAGGTGCCACACACCCCGTGCCCTCTCGGGCACAGCCTCTTCTGTGGTGATACAGCTTTACTTAGTGATGTTAAGGTGACTGCAATATTTTGAACTTGCATTACTTACCCTGATCAGACAGTGCTTGCTTCTGTTTCTAGGTGATGTGGTCAAGCCTGCAGAGGAGCTGTTTTCAGCCACTGTAAGAAAAATAATTCCAATCTGGTTTGAAAGTTTAACAAAAACACTGAGAACCCATGGTCAGGTAGACTGTAGGATCTGACCTGAAAGAGTTAAGTGGGCAGTGTGTTTTGAGTAACTGACTAAAAAGTTCTCTTTCCACAGGACTACAAGGGCCAAAAATTAGCAGAACAGATTTTTCAAGGAATCATTCTTGTCTCTGCAGTAAGTATAATAGATCTGTAGGTGAGAACAAAAAGGACTATTTTATTTTCTGTTCTTATAAATATTTTTCTTACTGTTTGGGGTCACTAGAAGTTTTAAACAAAGTCAGAGGATTAAAACTTTTACTTTCATTGTTGGCCTGCACTTTTGAAAAGGTTTGAGAGATGTACATGCTTTTGAAAACCTACCTAAATCCACCCCCTGCATCTTTGTCATGTAATGGGAAATATTTTTCTTCATTTAAAGTTTGAATTTTTTAAATGTTTGTTTTTTCCAGGTAATTGGTTTCATCTATGGATACATCACTGAGCAGTTTGGATGGACTGTCTACATAGTTATGGCTGGATTTGCTTTATCATGTTTGGTAAGAATGTTTTTTCCCCAAACCAAAAAATCCTTGCAGTTTAATCTGGAATAATTGCTAAATTGAGGGGCTGTCAGCACAGACTAATGTTTGCTATGCAATTCAGATTTACAAATACATATTTGTACTTCCTTTGATCTGCATAAAGTCCTTTGCAGCCCATTAAGTGCTTTTCCTGAAATGCTAGCAGAATTTTTGCAATTTAATACCACTTTTGAGTTCATTTTTCATTTCAATTAAAAGTTAGAGTAAGGCCAGCTGACAGCATTAGTAGCAGAAAGGACAGGGAAGCTTTCTGTGCAGCAGCAGCTTGTCATGACAATTTTGCAGCTGTCCCCTGCTGCCTGAGGAGACAAGGAAGCAGAATATGGAATTTCAGGAGTAATTCCTTATCCATGCACGAGAGGTGTCCCATTCCTGGTGGGGCACTCCCAGTCCTGTTTTACACATGGCTCTTAGACCTCTCAAGAGTTCAGATACAACACAATTTGACCAATCACTACTCAGGACACACACACATTCCACTGTTTTGAAAAGCCCCTGTAATTCTCTGGCATAATCATCCAGCTGCTCCTTACTTAAACATCCCTGAATTACTTACCCATGATGCCAGGCAAGGACAGGGTCTCAGTGCAGTGTGGGAGGTGCTGGCAATGCTGCTGTCACCTCAGGAGTCCTTCTTTCTTCAGGGTGGGTGCTGTCCCCATCCTTGGAACAACCTGGGGTGCTTTAGTCACATACTTAAGCACGACTTCGCAATGTAAACTGTAATTGTATATGAAATTGTAAGAGCTTTTTAAGGACTAACAGATAATTAGTTAGGGATGAAGATCTTCCTGAGGAGCTGTACAGAACAGCTCCTCAGCCCTCAGTGTCCATGTTCTGACTGCCCTCCTTTGCCCTCAGCTGACGCTCCCTCCGTGGCCCATGTACCGCCGCAATCCCCTCAAGTGGCTGCCTGTGCAGGAGTCGGGCACGGAAGAGAAGAAGGCAGCAGACAGGAAGCCAAAGAGACATTCTAAAAGCTAAATATTACAGTTTCCAGGCTGTTAGTTTGTTAAATTTTGTTAAATTAATTTCCATGGAGAAATACTTCCTGGCTTAGTGTTTGGGTTTTTTCCTAGTACTTTGTATATTACTATGAGTACAACCAAGCTCTGCAGGGAGCATGACGGCTGGAAATTGGGTCTGGAGTTTCAGGGGACTCACTGGGAACACAGGAATGGGGGGGGATTAACTTTAGAAGGCTACTACTGGAGGTCACATCTTGAGTATTTCACTGAAAAGGAACACAGTGAATCAAATGAATTCTAGTTAAGCTGATGCCATAGCCTGAAAGATTAATAAACAGCTGAACTTGTACTGGAATGTTTCTAACTGTGTGTAAAACAAGTTGTCAGTAGTTCCAGGTTGTAACAAATACTGTGAAATGGTATATACCCCACAGTTCTGAAAATAACTGTTCTAAGATAGGAGGCTACAGAGGGCCAGTTTTTGTTTAAAATAAATTTCCCTGGGAAGAACAAGTAAGAATAGCTCTTGAAACATTGTAACTCGAGCATGTAGTGTGTGAGAGGCAGCAGGATCCATAGGTGTGGCATTTTATTTTACTACTGTCATATCAGTAAGCTCCCTCACAGCTGCTGGAGGTTACAGTATTTCAGCTACAAGCAGGAAAAGAGACAGGTTTATAATTTTATTTTACAAATTCAATTCCATTTGACTTCTTTATTATTTAAAAAACGTGTGCTTTTCCTGTAGGTACGGTACACAACAATGCCTGGGGGCTGTAGCGAGTCGCTCTGGATGCAAACAAAGAGAAATAAGTGTTTTATCTTTTTCCTAAGAGATTCTGGTCTTGGGCACTTTCATTCCTAAAAGGAATTATGATTTGTAAGGCAAAGGGATTTCTCCAGCTGGAACCATGGTAACCATGGCTGCATTCCTTTCCAACATTTTCAGACTTTCTTTATCCAGATACCAAATGCTTTCCCCCACCTTGGTGACTGCCTCAGCAACAAAACACAAGAGCAAAGTCTCTCTTTCCAAGCAGTATGGCCACCCCCTTCAGCACTTGGACTTGGCAATTTACACAACCTGAGGACCTTTAGTTCCACAAAAATTAGTAATTGTCTCTTCATGCTAAATTTTCACAACTATCTGATGTAACAGATTAGAGTTTATCACATCAGAGCCTTGGCAGAGATTTTGTTACTGTATTTGGTATGAGACCATACAAAAAACCTTTTGCTATGACAAATTCAAACCAGAACATTATTTTTTTTGACACTCCTTAGTATACAAAACTTGGTATCGACACCTATTTGCATCTATGGAAAGCACTTTTTAAGAGAATAAAAACTAAACTACACAGTTTCTCTTCTGAGAAAGTGATAGCCTGGTTCACATTTTAACATGAAAAATATTACTATGAACTCTAACATTTTCTGCAAGTTCACCTTCTTATTCCAGCAAAGGAGATCAGCACATGAACATGCTTTGTAAGCTGGTCCAGTCTATCAAAGGAGCTAGAAAATAGTTCTTTTCTCCAAGGAAAAGATTCTGGTCAGAGCTTCACATTTTCTTCGAGGAATTTCAGGTGCCGCGCCTTCGCACTGTAACTCGCGTACTTGTCTCCCATGTGCTCCCGCAACTGCAGCTGTTTACAGCACACACAGAACAAAACCCACATTTACTGGCATTGAAAAAAAGCAGATGCTACCAAAATAGTAACGGTAACATCTTTCAGCACTCAGCTGAAAGAAGCATGTGAAGCTTGGCAATGTGGATGAGAGAGAGCTAAAAGCAAGAGATTTTCAAATCCCTCCCAAAAATTTAAGATCTTCACAGGTTACAAATCAAATACTGCCTGGGTAAGTGTAACCAAGTTTTGAATCAGGACCTGGAGGTATTCCTTATTCACCTCTATTTGGGGACTGACATCAAATTATTTCTTATTTTGGACATAAAGGGCATAAGGAAAGTAATGTGAAGGCAAACACTTGAGACAGAAGAAATTATTACTGGAAAAACAGCATAAAATTATGCTAACATATTAACAGAATAAAATTATTTGCATCCCTCATATCTTCCCCATGGTACAGTTCTAAAGCTCTGATGGTTTCTGAAGAAGTTGCATTTGAACACAGTCTACATGTAGAATCATACTTAAGCATGAAAATTACAATATACTTAGGTCCTTTCCTGCCCATGACTACATAAAGACTTTCTGGAATCAAGGTTTACCCTATCCTGCTAATTTATTTATGTTTATAAAGAAATTATTTTATTATGGAAGACATTCACCTCTCTTTTTGCTTCATCATCTTCTTCCATGATTCTGTACACCTTCTCAAGAAGTTTCACTCCCAATCCTTGCACCACATCAGATCTCAGGATTTCAACCATTCTCCTAATCTTGTAAGGGACCAATGACATATCTATTAAAACACAATTAAAAAAATCAGTGCAGTACTAATTACTTCCAGTACAGACAATTTTCATATTCTGCAGAAGAACGTGGGACAACTAAGTATTATCACAGAATCCCAGAGCAACAGACCTGAAGGAATCTCTTCCAATTTTAATTCCTCTGATTCATCAGGTGATTTTCCATGCAGAATCAGAGTATCTCGATACTTTCTATGAAGTTTAAACTCTGGGGCTGGGGTCGAGGTTACGCAGCACTCGGAGCTCTCCTTGGAGTCCATCTTCAGTGTCCACGTCATCAGCTGCACCAAGTCATTCATTTCATTCACACTGCTTTTCCTAGGAGAGAAGGAAGAAATAATTCAGTCACCATCACAATGCAACTTCCACCCTGCATTCCAAGGGCTTTCAATGAGCTTGTTCAGGTCCTAGTAAGTATTCCATGTTAAATTCCTAGCTGTGGTGCAGTTTTATCAATAGCAACATCAGTACTATTTCATTTAACAAAGGCTCAGAGCCCAGAAAAACCCAGCAATCCTACTGGCTACTGATGACTCTGGTAATGCAACAAATTGCATCTTATGAAAGCTGCTTACACTGACAAAAATTAGAGATAAATTCAGCCTCTTTTATAGTGGAAAGGAAGCACATTGGCACCTTTTAACTCGTGCTTTTAATGCATCCTGACAGCAGATGTCCTTTGGTGCCGGAAGATTGGTTTCCTGGGAAAACACAAAACCAGAAGTATACAATTCCACAACCCAGAAAGTTCAGCATGGAAAGTGTAGTCACAGAGAGACAATAATTCAATGGGGCTGTTTTCCTCTAGGCATCACACACTTCTTCCACCACTCACTATGCAGAGATAAAGTGTGAAAGCCTTTTTTGTCCACTCCAAGTCAAGGTCCAGTATAGCAGTGAAAATTCTGGCACAGTATTAAAGAAAATCCTTACTTCTCCTTGGAATCACCATCAGACTTGTCTGTAGAGCTTGTGGAAGAGCTTAGCTCATCATCAGACAGGCAATGGGCTTCTCTCTTTCTCTAAGGGAAGAGGGAATAAATAACAAGAATTGTAATAGTTGAAAGTAATTCAGCAATATGGCATATATTACTGCTCTTACATGGAAGAAATACTTCTGACAAAGTTTACCTGAGAAATACTGGGATCTGATGAGGACTGAGGAACTTTAACACAATTTTCCACATGTGACTTTGCTTCAACTGCTGCACCATTTAATGACTGTCTTGCTGGAACCACTGGAAGGATGACATTTTCACAATGTTTGCAACTAAGCTGTGTGTATTCTGAATTAGTTTCATGCTCATGCAAGAAAAAAATCTATCACCTAGCAGAAGGCAGGCAGGGAGGTAGGTATTTTGTTAATAGAAAACATTGAAGCTTCTGTTCGAAAGTGAATATTCTACATTTCAAGTACATTTCAAAGACAAGTTGTCACCACTGAACACAACTGGACATAACTAAAAAGCAGAAAAATACAGACATGTTAACAGAACTTTTTATTTAACACAGAACTAGCCCCTTAGTGCACTGTTCTGAAGATGGCAGCGAAGAACAGACAAGAAATTATAATTTCTTCAGAAAAAAAGTTATTAGCCTACTTATACATAAACTATTAACATATAAACATAAAAATTACCAGAGGGAAGCATCTCCCGAGACTGTTTCAGCCTCCTTCGTTCTCTGGCTGACAAGGGCCGCTCCTTCAAAGGAAGTTAATTTGATCTTAATTTGCAATCACCATTATAGCTTTTGTTTTCTAATCACCTATTAAGCAAAAAATCCTTTTGGACTGATATGGGAGACAGAGCTATTATTTAATGCTTAATTATTTCTTATGAAACTGTCTTCAATGAGACCAATCTGAACTCTAGAAAAGGGGCTGCTGACCTCCAAGGCTCAGCAAGGCTCATCCCACACTGAGCAGGGCTTCCACGAGACAGGAAGCTACCAAACATTTTACTCACTGTGCACACACAGGGAACAAACTCCTCAGAAGCAATGAGACAAAAACCAGCAGACACAGTTTTCACCACTAACCTTTGGAATGGCTGCTTGGCTGGGTTTGGCACTATCTGCAGGCTCAGGGTGCTCTGCACCCCTCTGGACTGTCTTTGGGGTCACATCAGAAGGAACAGGTAGAGGCCGAGGAGAAACTGCTCTGAACTTGACAGAGAAGTGAGCAAGAATTAATACTTTTTTAAAATTAAAAGTTTAAGTACTCTGCTATCTAGAAGACATTCTTGTATGGTAAAGCTGGATGCCAGAGATTTTGAATCCTATTGTAACCTCTTCACATCTCCCAGCTTGATCCTTCCCTCTCCCCATCTCTCCTTGCATCCATTTCCCTTCTTTCCATCCCTACATCTTATCCCCCTGCTCCCAGACTATTTTTCAGCCAATGCCTTTGCAACAACTGTCCCCACCCCCAAACAGCAAAACCCAAAGAGAAAACCAAGTTATGAATGACCAATCACCCTTTCCTGTAGCCTTGTGCCTCTCCCCAAAGAAACCTCCCTGCTCAGTGTGGAGGAACTGACAGGAGCTCCATCCTGTGTGCATGCCAAGATTTGCTTCCTACAGTTTGCACTCAGGAGCTCAGGGCAGCCATCACCCATCTGCTCTAAAGCACTACTAAGCCACTACCCACCAGAAGTAGCCTTATCCACAAAGGTACTGACTTGTAGTCACAAACAGTGAGAAATCCTGATGGAATTTCCTAGGAAACATTGCAACCCAGTAAAGGCACAGCCCATCTGGCACACCCACCTCATCCCTGAAAGCTACTGGGGATTTTCAAAGATTTACTCAGGCTGCTTCTAATAGTCCCCTTCAGTGGTCTGCATTTGTTACCACTGAAGTTATACAGACACACATGAAACAAGAACAGCATTAAAACACCCACCCTTTTT